AAGCATGGCATCTCATCTTCTCCATTGTTCTCATTTTCTCTATTGTTCAATTCAGTCCTGCCTCTTAGGCACCACGCAGCTGGTAACTAACAATGGTTTTGGGACCTTCAGCTCCATTCACAGACCCTATTGCTTGACCCATGACTCTTCTCCACTCAATTCTGTTTCCTCTTCCATGGAAGGCTGGGACTAGGGCCCATTCAAATCCTCTAGGAGGTGAAAGGGCCCACCTATCCCCTGCTGGGGAAGGTAGAAAGGTAGCACACTGCAGGTGGTGCTGCTGGGGTGGGAACTGGGGATATCTCCATTGCAGCCTGTGATGCTAACCAGATCCTGTCATCAACAGCAGCATTGGGATACTATAGCGGCCATGCAGGTGTGCTGCTCAGACCTCCCTTCCAGAGAACCTCCTGTCAGAAGACCTGTCATTTCAGTTCGGCTCTACCACTTCAGGTCCACAGTGATGTTGAGGCCACACTCTCCTTGGGCTTCTTCTAGTCAATGCCCAAGCCCAGCAGAGGCACTAGTCCAGGGTGATTTCTGCTGACGCAGGGCTCTTCCAATAGGCAAACTTTGTTCATGGACCTCCCATGGCCTGGCCAGGATGGTCTCAGATCTCCGTTGCCATCTGGAGTCCTTCCTTCCCTCTTTTCTTCCACAAGGGAAGACCTGCAGGTGATCTGAAGGCTCTCCCTTTCTACTCCTGCCCCTCTCCCCTTTATCCTTCACAGGCACCTCCCCTAACCAAATCTCTGGCATGTCTAAGACTCTTTGTTTCTGCTTCTCAGGGGACCTGAAGGGACTCAGACTCCTGATTGGTATGGACCCCTGAGTTGGCCAGACTAGGTGCTCCGGATGCCCCCAGGCCTCAGGTCAAGTGCAGGCAGGTTGCTGGCTCCCGCCACAGGTAGACTGGTTTTTATTAGTGACCTTTCTTCAAGAAAGGTGACTGTTTTCTCCCTTGTGGTAGTTTGGAGTGCATTTACACCTTGTTATCTTATTCCAGTGATGCTCCTGAGTTTTTTTTAAAGACTCTTTAAACAGATGATTTCCTTAGACTTTCAGAGGAAATTCAGAGGATTAATTTTCCGATTCTCCACTCACTCTGCCATTAGCTGGCGGTATTTTTTTCAACCTAATTTCCTCCTGCCAGTCCATGAAGTGCTTTCTCTGACTTCAAAGATTACCATCTGAGAAGTTTCCATTTGAAGTCTGTCAGTAATTCAAATGTGCCCTTTAGGATAATCCTACTGGAGAGTACTGATAGTCAAATTGAGTCTATTTTCTACCTGTACACCCGCCTCAGCCAATTTAGACCGGTCCAGCACCCTGGATTGTGTGCTTTCTGTCAGATTCGTTTTCTCCTTTTGTTATTCACTGGTTCTTTTTCCAAATCAGTCATATTTTAAGTTTGTATTGATCTTTGAGTATCACTGATTTTTTTTTCCTGTCCACTTTAGTTCTCGTCTTTGAACCACCAGCAACGTGTTGGATTCATCTAGGGAGCTTGCCAGTAATAGTAGATATTAAGGGTTTTTGATTGTGTAGCTTGAACACTTTCTTGATTACTGCCTGTTGCTTCTCAGTCCCCAAAACAGATGCCCTAAGTTCCTTTTTTGCAGTCTTGTTGGGTCTCTTTAAACATAAGCTTGTATTTGTTCTTATCTTTGTGGTTCTTGGTTTTCAGCTGCTTCTGATCTTGAAGGTGGCTTCTTCAAGTCAATTCCCTCTTCCTCTTCGGTGTTGCACAATTTTACATTTAGATGCAAATTTGGCTTGTGGCCTGCTTTTCTCATCATCTTTTTCTTTTCTTTCTTTTTTTTTTCTTGAGTCAGAGTCTCACTCTGTCACCCAGGCTGGAATGCAGTAGCATGCTCAAGGTTACCACAGCCTCAGTTTGCTGGGCTCAACTGATCCTTCTGCTTCAGCCTTCCAAGTAGTTGGAATTACCAGCATATGCCACCATACCGAACTATTTTTGTTTAAATTGTAGAGATGAGGTCTGGCCAAGTTGCCCAGACTGGTCTTGAACACTTGGGCTCAGGCCAAATTTTGGGGATTACAGGCATGAGCCATCGCACCTGGCTCTCATCATTTTTGAAATGTATCTTGTTAGATCCAAGTTATTCTAGTTATTTTTTTTTAGATTGGCCTGTGGCCATTTTAGTGTGTTTAGTGAGCAGGAGGCAGCCTGCCAGCTTGTATTTATTCTGAGCACCTGAGAGTAGGAGCAGTTACACCTGGGCCCCAGTCCAGGGCTGGTTTCATCAGAGGTTTTACTGCATAACCCAGAGAAGCACCATCCGCATATACCACAGGAGTCCAAAGCTTTCAACATGAGAAAGTATGTTTTGTTTTATCTCTTGTGACATAAACCCATGAGAAAAGTTAACACAAGGAAAGCAAAGTATCTTTTGAAACCACCAAATCAAGTAGTGTATCTTAAATGCTTAGCACATAGTGCTCAATGGATGATATCTCTATGCATCTATACATATCTGCTTGTATTTCCACACATATATATTTTTCTTTTTCATTAGGGCTTAGATAGGGTTTGGGAATGGTATTCCACATAGAATTGTAAAAATATCCAAATCCTTTCTTCCCACAGGCTTTCAACAGTGATGAGAAACAATAGCAGAATGAGAATTCTGTTAGCAATAGCTGTGTAGCAAAGGAATTCATCACAGTAATGCTGATTGTGGGATTTTTTGTCTCCTGGTAAAACACTAGGAAACCTAAATGTTTATAAGCAGGCTACTGGCTAAATGAGTTATGGTATGCTCACCCAATAGGATGCCATGAAGTCATTTGAAATAAAAAGTCAATTCATATTGCTGATGTGGAACGATTTCCAAGAAAAAAACATTGTAGAGTGAAAAAGCAAAGGACAGAGCTGTAAGTATAATGTTTTCCAGTTTCTAAAGAAGCCATACATTGTCGGGCTCGGCAGCTCAGCCTATGATTCCAGCACTTTGGGAGGCTGAGGCGAGTGGATTGCCTGAGACCGCGGGTTCGAGACCCACCCAGGCAACTTGGTGAGACCTGATGGAAGGATCACCAGAGCCCAGTAGGTCAAGGCTGCGGTGGCCAGGAGCATGCCACTGCACTCCAGTCTGGGCAACAGAGTGAGACTCCAACTCAAAAAATAAAAAATAAAAATAAAAAATAAAAAAAGAAGCCATACACAAATGTACTTAGAAAATTTCTGGGAAGAGTATGCAAGAAACTATGGTTGCCTCTGGAACAGAAAACTAAGGCCCTGGGATACAATGGAGGTTGACTTCCCTTTGCATCCTCTTCTGTACTATATGAATATCTTATTGATGCATGGAATACTTTTTCAATGTAAAAAAACTAATATTATAACATAGGGTTAAAGTAGTAGCTGCATTGGTCACCGATGCAAACTGCTCTGGTGAAAGACTATGTTGATGTTTCCTCCCTGCCACATCTACAACTTGGAATCTCAGGCCCTGCTAGCCAGGAAGTCGTGGAGGGTAGGAGAAACACGGGTTGAATCTCAAAGCAGGCCCTGGCTGAACCTGCCCACCCAGCTCCCTGCTGCTGAGGCGGTTAAGAAAGTGGATAAGAATGAATGACCTGTCAATGCAGAGCCCTGTACACTAGTGAATGTAGCACGTTCAACGTCTAGGATCAATGTCTAGGACACCAGCACAGGACCTCACTTTGGGGTAGGGGAAGAGTGGGTAAAAAGAGGATGGGGATGAGGTGGGCAAGTGGGAAGAGGGTGAGAGTTGAGTCATATTTGAATTCTCTTTCCAGAGGCAGTGGTTCTGGAGTCCTGGGTCACAGATTTGGCTTTGATTTGCTCCAGGGCCACCTACCTTGAAACAGGACTCCACAATAGCATGCACCCTCCTCCCCAAATTGGCCAGGCTCATTAGCAAGACCTGACCAGGGCCTGCTTCAGATCACATGTCTATGCAATCATATCAACAGCCTTGGTCCCCTTGTCCTGAGGCCACTTCTTGTTTTCTACCTGTCTAAAGGCCTTTCTTTGGACTTTGGAGACCTCAGCCCCTCACTTCATTCCCTCTGGGAATGCCCTTCCACGTCTCTCCGTTTTCTGTCTTGTTTTATCTTTGGGGTAGCAAGAGGCTGCAGCAACTCCAGACCTTATATCTTCCTAACTTTGCATCTCACAGAAAGAGCTCCAATTCTCTGCTTGGAAACCCAAGCAAGACTTTTACTGCTTCTAATCACTGTATCCAGGGAATGGGATGCTCTTCTTTTTCTTTCTTTCTTTCTTTCTTTCTTTCTTTCTTTCTTCCTTCCTTCCTTCCTTCCTTCCTTCCTTCCTTCCTACCTTCCTTCCTCTCTCTCTCTCTCTCTCCTCTCTCTCTCTCTTTCTTTCTTTTAGAAAGCAGGACTTATTGAGAAGACAGAAAATCTCCCACAGTGGGAGGGGACGTAAGGGGGTTGCCCAATGCTCTGATTTCAATCACCACCTGCTGCCCTACCCGTGGCCAGGAGTGGAGTCAACTCTGTATAACCATCAGGAAAGTGGGTGGGGGAGGGCAGAGTAGACAACAGGAGCTCAGTCCTAGAAACAGCATTTGAATCCCTGATCAAGCTGCGCCTGAAGTTAGCCCTACTCTAGTTTTTTGTGTTTTTCCTTATGTGAAATTCTCTCTCTGCTTAAAACAGTCTGGGTCAGGGTACGTGTTGTTACTTCTTTCAACAGAGGAGTTCTGATTTTTAAAAAGGGACAGATGTTCATGCACAGTATGGTTCCATTTTTGTAAGAGAAAAATGTGTGTATGTGTAGAGAGAGAGTGAGTCTGGAATGATATACACAAAAAATAACAGCAGGCAGCAGGAGTAGAGGTAATTTCTCTTTTCTGTGATTTCTAATTGTGATTCAATGAGCATGAACTGCTGTGTGATTCCAGGGAAGTGTTTGCTATCTTTGATCCGTCGCTTCAAGTGAGTGAGAGGAGCCCCATTGATCTGTGGTTGGTGTTGCAGGAAGGAACATGAGTCAGCCAGACACAAGCGGGGACTGCTCGTTCAGCGACTTGGATGAGCTAGTGAAGACCCTGCAGCTGGCCGTTCACATCCCCACCTTCCTCCTGGGCCTGCTGCTCAACCTGCTGGCCATCCGTGGCTTCAGCACCTTCCTGAAGAAGAGGTGGCCCGATTATGCTGCCACCTCCATCTACATGATCAATCTGGCAGTCTTTGACCTGCTGCAGGTGCTCTCCCTCCCGTTCAAGATGGCCTTGTCCCCGGTGCGGCTTCCCTTCCCATCCTTGTGCACACTGGTGGAGTGCCTATACTTTGTCAGCATGTATGGGAGCATCTTCACTATCTGCTTCATCAGCCTGGACAGGTTCTTGGCCATCCAGTACCCGCTTCTAGTCAGCCACCTCCGGTCGCCCAGGAAGATCTTCGGCATCTGCTGCACCATCTGGGTTCTGGTGTGGGCCGGGAGTATCCCCATCTACAGCTTCCACGGGGAAGAGGAGATACTTAGGTGCTTCCACAACATGTCCAATCACACCTGGAAGGCCAGGGTCTTCTTACCTCTAGAGGTGTTTGGATTCCTCCTTCCCATGGGCGTCATGGGCTTCTGTTCCACCAGGAGCATCCACATTCTGCTGGGCCGTCGAGACTACACACAGGACTGGGTGCAGCAGAGAGCCTGCATCTGGACGATCGCAGCCAGCCTGGCCGTCTTTGTGGTCTCCTTTTTCCCGGTCCACCTGGGTTTCTTCCTGCAGTTCCTGGTGAGGAATGACTTTATCATGGAGTGCAGAGCCAAGCGCAGGATCAGCTTGTTCCTGCAACTGTCCTTGTGTTTCTCCAACATCAACTGCTGCCTGGATGTCTTCTGCTACTACTTTGTCATCAAAGAATTCCGCATGGGCATCATGGCCCACCGTCCTTCCAGGGTCCAGCTGGTCCTGCAGGACACCACACTCACCCGGGGCTAAGAGAAGGATGCACTGTTCCTGGGAAGGAAATCCCAACCCTGAATTCTAGTAACAAATATCCCATTCCACAGTTTCGATGTGGCAAGATGAACTGTGGCACCTCCACTGATGTGCTTCCCTTTGATGCTCATTGAGTGCCAGCTTTGCTCATTATACCCCAAATACCTTTCCCCAATGCCCTGATAGCTTGACACACATAACCCGGTGTTCGGGGGTCTCTGAATAACCGCAGAACCAGGCGAATTCTGGATTTCTAAGTCCAAAAAGTATGAGGCAGAAGAATTGAGAAAGAGCATGAGACTATCTGAACAAGGCTGTTTTTCAACTCTTCCTATCCTTATATTAGACCAGAAGATTCTGGAAAGAAAGAGAGAGGAGTTAGGGGAGGGAATCAGGAGAGTCAGCTATAGTGGAGGGAGTCTTCGGCAGAGATGGATGATAGGGATGGATGGTAGATTAAGCCCCTTCTTAGTCTGGGAATTCTGGGATGGAGCAGATTTACATTTTTTGGTCCTTTCTGGAGCTCTGTTGACTAACAGCCTTACCGAAATGATGGTAAGTTGGGGGCGAAGTTCAAAGCTGGGCAAGTACACACGGATAGCCCCAAGTTTCCTATGGCACTCAGAAAGGCACAGGAGGTCAGCCAAACCTTTCCATGGCTACAGGAAGGCTGCAGAAGGACTGAGGGGGGCATTGGTGACACGGTACCCCTGAGAAAAGGAGGACAAGGTACCCCTGAGAAAAGGAGGGGACAAGGTACCCCTGAGAAAAGGAGGAGACAGGCTAAGGGCTAGAAGTAGATTGTCCCTCCTCCGCTGGCTCAGCCCAGAGGCTGTGAGGGACAGTCCTGGGAGAGGGAGATCCCTGAATGTGACCCATTTTCTGTCTTCGACAGATTGGAAAGTTGTTCATTAGACCTAGAGTCCTGGAAAACTATGAGAAAGAATCAGGCTTGACTTGATTCAGCCAGAGGAGGGTGGGGGAGATATTTGTCTTGCTTGCCTGAGTCCTGGTAGGGCTGCTGGCACTGGTGGCACTGCCCACGGAACTGTCCCTCTTGGTAGCTGGGAAAATGAAGCAGCCAGGCAGAAAGACCAGGGCTTGAGAAGATTGGCAGGGGAGCTCTTAGCAGTTCCGTTGGAAAACAATTGAATCAGCGCTTGGATCGGTTTCTCTGTCAATCTAGAGAAGGAGCATGCAGTGACAGCCGGAGTTTTCTGATGATTCAGCTGCTCCAGAGAATGAAATGATAAGAAGGATAAATTGTGGGGTGGTTTTGCATGAAGGAGTGAGTGGGATGAGGAGTAACCAATGAGACTTAATGTGAGCAAGGCGAAGGTCTTTTGGAGGAAAGGCAACGGTGCTCTGCCTGTAGGAAGAGAGCTCTGGCGGCTAAGGGGGGCACGGGGGCGGAAGGCTTGGGGTGGCAGTGTGTGGGGGAGGAGATGGCAGAAGAGGCTGATTTCGATGAAACCCAGACCTGCCTGCTGAGGAGGATGTGAGGAGGAAGAGAGAAGAGGGAAGAGGAGGGGGAAGTTGAGCAATTGTCCAAGGCTTGAAGCTGTGGAGGGAAGCACTTGTATGATAGGGTGAGGGACCCGACAGAGCTGCTTCCTGCCTGAGAGTTTTACCCCAACTAGCCTGAGAGCCACTGATGACCAGGAGCCTGCCTTTTCCCACCTCCCAGCAGCCTCAGCTGTCGCTGTGTCAGGTGGCACTCTGCCGAGCTTCCTCCTAGGTGGCTGGAGGGAAGGGTGAGGAAGAAAGTATCAGTGAAGGGGTAAAAGTGGGTGTGCAGCAGTGACCCAATCAAAACCAGAAGGACCAGTACCAGAGGCTCCGGGACCCAGAAACCAGCAGCCACAGAGTCAGGGACTCTGCAGACCCAGGGACGAGGCAGCCCCAAGCCCTGGACACTTCTCTTCCTGTCTGCAGGTCGCTCTGTCCCATGGTCATTCTGAACAGAGATACCACCTGGGATGAGGGAGACACCAGTGTGAGGATGCCAGACTGTTGTTACAATTGGGATTGGTTTGAGTCAGAGGTGGTGGGTGGCTAGACTTAGGGAACTCCCTCCCCTCCTATTTCCCTCTTTGCATTACTAACTCAGAGCTCTCTTGATGAGGTTGAGTGGTGCCCTTCATGGACACTTGGGTCTACCAATGTGCATAGGGCAAGGTGGGCTTCCTGAGAGAAAAGGGTCAGCAGACCCTGACCACCCATCATCCCTGGCAATGTTCAAAAATAAAATTCTGTCTTGTTTGCAGCATGACATTGTATAGGTGACAAAGAGGGCTCTGAATCTCTAAGGAGAGAGTCATCATAAAGGGAGGGGTCTAGACCCCTGAGATGCAGGTCTAGACTATACAGGGTAGGTCCTGGGAGGGGTGTGAGCAGTCTCAGGTTGATGTGACAGCCATGGACTTGTGGGTGAGCCTTGGGGTCCCCCAACCCATCCAAAACACTGTGCGGAGGAGAGGAGCCTCTTTTCTCTTCCTATGAGGACCTGTCCTGGCCTGAAGTTCTGTGGGAGTGGGCACAGGTCCATGCTGCAGGCCAGTATGGCTGCTCTGAAGGTGGGTTGGGATTCTGGGCCCAAGTAGCTGCAACTCGAGCTGGCCCATGATTAGCAATAGGGGCCAGTGCCATGGCAGGTGCAGTAGGTTAGTGTTATGGTTAGGGTTAGGGCTAGGGTTAGTTAGGGCTAGAGTTAGGGTTAGTGTTAGAATGTTGAGGCATCCAAGAGCCCATTCCCAAAGCAGTGGCAGCCAGTAAGCCAGTGAACCCTGAATTTAGTGTTAGAAAAGGCTGCCATTCCTGCTTCTAAAACCAGTGGGGGCTTGAAGCCCTTGTTTGTCCATAATGTGACCTTATTTGCATTGCTATCTGGAAAAACCAGAGACATACTTGCTATATGTTCATTTGTGAAGCCAGCACAATTAACTGGAAAAAATGGATTTAAATAATCTGATTTGCCAAATAAATAGATTTGTACGATGCTGTGTGACCTTGTCTTGGGCTACATGTTCTGGCCCCAGAGAAGAACTGGCCCCAATGGCCCCTGCCAGGTGACCTAACAACCTTGGTCCCTTTAGTAGCCACCTGGGCACCAAGTGTGAGGCTACAGGGAGTGACTCTCAAGCCTGCCTCAGGAGCAGAGCTGGGCCTGCGCGAGTGGCCAGGAGCCAGACCCTGCCCAGTGTAGCTGTAGCTCCTTATGTCCATGTGGTGTTCAGTTCTCTGTAGTAGCATCCAGATCACACACACCCCACATGCCCCACCTCCATGGTCCTCCCCACCCAGCTTCCACCATTGTGTCCCACTGGAGCTGCTTCTAAAGGTCCTGGCTGCTCTGCACACATTTGGGGGTAGGGGGGTAGGAGCACATCACAAGATACCTGCTGACCATTGAGAGACTGAAGACACAGAGCCAGTCTCTGGAGGTCCTCCATAGGTGACCCTTCCTTCTCTGACCACTGGTGAAGGAAATCTGACTCCCCTGGAGATTCTCCTAGGTTCTTCTCGGCTCCTCACAAGTGAATTTCACTAACCTACTGAGAGCTTCTGGAAGGTGTGAACTACTAGACTCTGGCCAGAGCCTCCCTTTCACCTGAGTTCCCTGCAATTCTGAGCACAGCTTGTCCTATCATGACCTGGTGCTGAGGGGTGACCTTGGACATCCTTGCTCCTTGTCTCCTACTAACCCAGGAGCCACCTCACATGTAGCCTAAGTCCCCTTGGGGCAATAATCAACTCCCCTCGGCCACCAGGGGGATTTAACTTGGAGAATTCCAGTCCACAAGCTGCATTTGTCAACTCTATTTCTCTTGAGTCAACTTTCTGGGGACCCTATGCAGCTGAATGTCATTATACTCATGTTATATAGCTGCTGTGGCATAGTAAGGACATTTGGAATAGTAAGATAACACCCTTGTAGCAAGTGACCACAAATGAATAATAACTGCCAAGATGTTTGAAATGACTGAGACCTGGTGCGAAATTGTACAGATTCATAGAGGTTAAAAAGGATTTGGTTAGGGTGGGCTTGGTGGCTCAGCCTGTAATCCCGCGCCTTGGGAGGCCAAGGTAAGTGAATTGCCTGAGCCCGCGGGTTCGAGACCCGCCTGGGCAACTTGGTGAGACCTCATCTCTACAATAAATAAAAAAAAATAGCCGGGCATGGTAGCATGCGCCTGTAGTTCTGGTTACTTGGAAGGCTGAGGCGGAAGGATCGCTGGAGCCCAGCAAGTCAAGGCTGCAGTGGCTGGGAGCAGCCACTGTACTCCAGTCTGGGTGACAGAGTGAGACTCCAACTCAAAAAAAAAAAAAAAAAGGATTTGGTTAATAGATCGGTGTCCAAGAAAGAAATTGGACAGAGCTACCGTGTGGTGTGTGGAGAGGCTAGTATGCAGAACAATCATGAGGCAGGGACAGAGGAGGAGCCACTTGGAGATGCCCATGCCAGACCATCCTCCGTCCATCCTAGAGGGTCAGCTGTGCTGTGGACAGTGGCTTTCCAGGGCCAAAGCTGTCTGGGGTCACTGTGAGAACCCCACTGCCAAAAAGGACAGGGGATTAAAAGGCACAAAGTGGTGCCTTTCTGGGGAAAGCACTCCCTGACATGACCACTGCTGCTATCTCCAGCTTTTTTCCACCCAGAGCTGGCTTCTCTGGTGAGTACAGGACACAGAGCTACGAATGTGCACTTCAGGGAGTATAGGTAGCAGGTCAAGAAGGACTCCAGGATCTTGAAGTAGAAGGAAAAAAACAGATGTTCTTTTGCTCCCACTTCAGGCCTGAGCATCCCCTCCTGAGCCAGGAACCTGTAAGATGCATTATCCTCCTTGCAAAGATTTTGCAGAAGGGACCGCATGGTGCCTTGATCATGAGACATGACAGAAACATGACCCTCTGTGTTTTGAAGTCTTGAGGAAGTAGGATCAGAAGTGCTGTCACTTCAAAGCCTGACGCCAGCTCTGCTTGGTGGAGGGGGCCCTGAG